GCCCAAGGTGCCACTTCCTCCTGGGACCTGGCCTTCTTCCCCTTCCCTTCCAGCCTGACTGGCTTCACTGTAATTGTATTCCCATGTGTGTCCCGTCTGGCCTGACACAGTCTGACCACCAACTTCCGGAATCTTCTAAGGCCTAGCAGAGGTCTGCATGTCCTAAGATCACCTCCTGTCACCGGCAGTGTCACCGTGGACTTAGGAATGCAGAACAAGTCTGGCATGGCTGATCACATGTGTCCCCATGCACCTAGCACTGCTGGGGACCTCAGGGATCTCAGAATCTGATGCTCTAGGTTCACACCACCAGACATTCAGAGCAGAACAAAACACAATTTCACAGTGGCTCCTTGAAGTCTCACAGGGGTGGACCCTAAGCTGCCACTCCACAACTTTAACTACTATTCTCTTTGATTCTAAGATGTCCTCAATTGTAAGACTCACCATTGTGTTAAGAACAACTTGTAGGGAGAAAAAGGAAGAAGAAGAAGAAAAAAAAAAGAAACACGACTTGGAGTGCACCAACTAATTGTACAACACATCCTGATTTCAGAATAATTAAAATTTGAACAATTGTGTGCCTGGGGATTGAGGAAATCGGCTATTTCTACAGGTTGGGGTTGGCTTCCTTTTCATTACTATGGAGGAAGCTGAGAAGCAGGCTCCAGGAGAGAAGGCGGGAGCCTGGGGACCGGCAGGTGTTTGATCTTAAAAAATAGTGGTTGAACTCCCACGTGGCCAGGCACTATGCAGTCAGGAGGGGCTGGCATAAAATCTTCTCTACCTTTACTCTCTAGTATGCGAGTGCTGCATTCTTGTTAAGAGCTCGGACATCCTTATCCCTTCACAGAAGGAGAAGTGACGTGTGTGCCTGTGGTTTGCAGTGGTCAGAAACATGGTAGGACTAACTGTCCAATAATATGTGAAAACAGCACTGTAAACTGTAAACTGAAATAGAACATCACTCTTTTCTCTGCAGCAGAATCAAAGTTGCCACTAGTTCATAATGATAAAACATAAAGAGAAATTTACTTAGTTTTTGGAATGACTCTGAAAGATGATGACCCTTTTGGATTGCATGTTCTGAGGTGACTCAGCTCTTCTTCATCTAAGGAACCACGTCCCCTGCACCTTGCCCCTCACTTTGTCACACTACACAGGTGGCAGGTAGGTCCTGAATTGCATCCCAAGGGCCCAAGGCAGAATCCTTGGGCAGAGGAATGTCCAAGGAGTGCAGGAAGGACTGGATGGAGGAGGTACTGGGGGTCCCTGGAAATGGAAATCTCCACCCAGGTGGTCATATTTGAGGGGTTCATGGAAACCAGGGGTAATGGTTGGGCAGGAGATTTCAGAAGAGGAACAGGGGCTCCAGGCAAGTTGGGGAGCCATACGAAGTTTGTGGCTGGGTGGGGTGCGTGGTCTGGGAGTGAGAAAGGCAGAACTGGGAGCTGTGCTGTTGATCCGTACCACCTCATTACTGTGTTACTTTTAATACCTTATTTTCTTCAATAAACTGGCCAAATACTCTTTAAATGCTGCCATGAGTGTGTGTGTGCTCAGGCCACACTGCAAGTACTCTTGGTTGACCATGGACACACATCGAGCAGACCCAGCTCCCTTTCTCTCTCAGAGGCAACTTGGCCCCCCACCCCAGCCCCAGCACGACAAGCCACTGAGAGCCTGAGACTCAGAAACACAGCTGGCTGCATCCATACCCCTCACCCACGGAGTGCAAGATAACCAGAGCTAGCCATTCCAGTCTGTCCAGCTCCAATGTGTGGTGTGGCAAAAGCTAACTCATATGGCTTCCTAGCTTGACAGTAGGTAAGAAGACTTAGTTAGACTTGTAAAGAGTGCAAATGTCACTTGTGAACATCTAACATCTGAGGAACTCAGAAAAAGATTTCTAGGGCAATTCAGAGTTACAGTAGTAGAGGAAAATTGAAGATCAGATGGAGCTCCAGGGTTGCACCAGTGACATCATGTCACTGCCCCAATACTGAGCCACCTGCTTACACCTAGGTCTCCTGATTAGGCTCTGGCTGGCAACCCTGTGGCCGCAAGATGATATAGCTTCTCTGGACACTGCAGAATAAGACTGCTGCCTGCTCCAATTAGATGAGAAACAGGCTGTAACATCTGAGTATTTATGGATTATTTTCCTGTCCAAATACTGTTTTATTTTTTTCTTTAAAAAACTGTGTCTTCCAGGAAGATCAACAGAGAAGAAGGGGATAAGAATAGTGGCAATGGCTGTTGGGTGGATCTGGCCAGGGACAAGACTGGGTCTTGGCTTCCTCCGTGGCAGTCTATGGCTGTGGTATATGTTGGACAAAGTCCAGACACCAGTAACACAGATGCTCTTATTAGTGTTTTTAGAAACAATCTCAAAATCTCTAAGCACCAAGAGATGACAATAGCCTGCAAACCAGGCTTTCGGGCATCCAAACTCATTGAATCTTACAATTTTAGTCGTGTGAAATTCCCCACCCTGACTACAGTCTTTTAGTCCCAGTGACTGAAATGTGAGAGAGAGAGAGAGAGAGAGAGAGAGAGAGAGAGAGGGAGCAGGAGACACATGTAGTCTCAGTTACTCCCTGATAAGCATCAGGCAAGGGATTTGGCACGGCCCTGACTACATACAGCCACAATCCGGTGTCAGAGAAAATAAGTAGAGCCACCCTTTGGGATCTTCGTGGCTTTGGCTCCAAGAGCTATTCCAGCCACTCCACAGATACCCAAATCTACAGCTGCTCAAGTCCCTTACATGAAACAACAGTCTGCATATAACCTAGGCAGCCCCCCTATATCCTTTAAGTCGTCTCTAGATGACTATCTCGGGAAAAAAGAATAAGGCCTAATGCAAGGTCAATGCTATGTATATGGTTGTTATGCTACACTGCTGAAGGGATGACAGAGAAAAAAGTATGTATATGTTCAGTACAGGCACAGTTTAAAGAAAGTATTTCCTATCTGTGGTTGATCTTCAGATGTAGAACCCATGAATCTGGAGGAAGATTAGGGCTGGGGTGAGTGGTTCTGCACAACTCAAATGCCACAGAACAGTGAGTACAACAAATTACAAGAGGACCAGAATGCTGAGGTTGTGTGAAAAGTCAGGGGTTTCTTAGGGCACTAAAAAGGATGGATAAAGGAATGATTAAATGAACATACAAATGTATGTATATGTATTTTTTTAAAAAAACAAGAGTACTAATGGCCAGGCCAGGATACAAAAAAATTATAAATAAATTCCCAAAGTAAAAAGCAGATTGTGGATTCTCTGACCACGTTAAATAAAGCTTGGTTCACCTGTAAGACAGACAGCCAAATCAAACCAAAATCTGATATGGTCCCTTATGAAATGCAAAGTTCTTACAATGCTATGAGGCTTTGGTGCACAAATACTGAATTTAGGAAGATTTTGCAAAAGAGAGGACCACCTTTGGACCCTATTGTTTTAAAATTCTCACCAGAGCGAAAACAAAGTCCTCTCAGCCCCTCTATGGAGACTTCACTTAATTCCTGTTTGCTCATTTTCCAAATTTGTTCATTTTTTCATTACATGCTTTCAAGACACATAAAAGAGTACTTCTATGACACAACTTATATTGTCACGCAAATGTATGATTCTATTCAGATATTTAGTTCCAGTATTTGCCTACAGAACTTCTGCCACATAATGTGAAAAGAGATTTGGATTAAAATTTGGTTTTATGCTTACTTTGCTATATAATTTAGATTAAAGAATGTTACCTCTCTGAGCCTCACTTCCTCATCTGTGAAAATGCTGATCACAGTACCTAGCTCAGTGGCCATTCCATGAGAGAGAACGTGTGCAGGAGCCCATAACCCAGAGAGAATTCGGATATAACACAGGCATGACTGTTGGCGATGGTCTTTGGTAAAAATGTCTGAAGTCATATCTATAAAATAAATTTGACCCTGCCTGGTGTGGTGGGGCACGCCTATAATCTCAGCACAGGGGAGGCTGAGGCAGGAGAATTGCCGTAAGTTTGAGGCTAGCCTGGGCTACATAGCAAGATCCTGTCTCAAATTAAAAAGACAAAAATAAATAAATTTGAATCTACCAGTCCAACTCAATGGCACTTGGAGATAATGATATACTGATATTAAAAGCGCCAGCTTCCTCTACAGGGAGTGGCAGCCTCTGGCTATTAGTAAAACTGAGGTTAGATAAAGCAGGTGCTTGGTGTAGAGGGGCAATCACAGGGAGCTCCTTCTGAAACCTCACTTTAGAGGAAGGCCCCAAGCCCCAGGTACAGGGAAACCCTCTGGAATGCCTGTCAGGGTCTCTAGGGATCTGGGGGAGGTCATGTTGTCCTTTCCAAATGGGAACTGAGCTTCCAACTGTGTCCTGGGGCTTGTGCCCCTCTCTTACCTTGGTGTGACACCTCTCAGCCTTTTGACACATCACAAAGGTCTCCTTAGCTGGCTTTCTATCACTTTAACTCTTTCTGCTTGCCAGGAAGGGCTCTTCTTCATTACCAGCCAAAAGGCCAGTTTCTTTGTTCCAAGATTCCAAGCAATTCATTAATATCGAAGCTGCCTGGTGGGTTAATCTGTCCTTTGCAAATTGTCCTTTGCAAGCTTGCATTTTTTCCCGTCATCTTTGCTTGGCACCCTACATTTTTTTTTTTGTACTGGGGATCAAACTTGGGCCCTTGTGCTTGCAAAACAGGTGGCGGAACCACTGAGCTAAATCCCCAGCCTGGCACCCTACATTTTGCAGAATAGCTGCACCTAAATGATTAAGACAGTAATTATTGCAGTCAGCTGTTGCAGGAATAAGGAACAAGAGAGACACTGGTCTAAGACCTCCTAATCAATAATCTTTCTTTTGATCTGCAGAACCCAGAACATCTGATGACCTTCAGATACCATCAGAAAGTGCGTCAAAGAAATGCGCCACTGCAAGATTAATGATCACCCCAGCGCCCACCTTTCTGTGGCTGAAAATATACCTCTTTAAACTTCCTACACAGGTTTTTTGCTTAGTTGTTAGCTGAGAAAATCCTTAGGACGAGTCTGACCCTTTTCCAATCAGCCGGCTCTTGGTAATAGGTTTTCTTCCTCTACCATCACCTTGCTTCCCAGCTGATTGACCTCCATCAGGCGAGGAGCGGGCTGAGACTGTGTTGACAGCATCAACTGCTTTATCCTCCAAATACTCCAGAGCCTTCTGCTGAGTCGCATCTTAGATCCGTGGTGTGTGAGAGATTCTCCCGAGCCGACACTGCTGGAGCTGGGGGCAGAGTGTGGGCAGAGTGTGGACAGGATGTAGGCTGGGCTCTCCCTTGTGATTCATTTGTTATCACCAGTAGGGACTAGACCACAACAGGGTAAGGTGAATGCCATGAGACCCTCACTTTATCCAGACTTGTTGCTTACTACACAAACAGAATTCCAGCTGCTGCTAGGAACCTTTAACCTCACTTTGGATGGCCAGCTGCTTTCCTGTCCCCAAAGGAAACCATCCCAGCAGTGGGTGAGGATCAGCCCTTGTCTCTGTTACTTCGCATAACTGAGACACAGTACCCCACACCCTTTTCTCTAAGGAGAAAAGGTTTTATTTTGGCTCACAGTTTATAGAGGTATCAGGCCATAGTCAGTGGACTCCAAGGCAGGGTGGGCACACAGCAGTGGAGAAACAGCTCATGGCAGGTAAGCAGGAAGTAGAGAGATCAAGGGAGGAGGAGAGAGACAGACTCTTCCATGCCACACCCCCAGTGACCACCTCCTCCACCCAGGCTTTAGCTTCCAACATCACATTTAGCTATAAGCTCATCCATTAGTGGATTAATCCACCCATGACTTAAACTCCCATGATCCAATCACCTCCCTAAAAATCCATCTATAAGTGCGTGAGGACTTGGGGTGACATCCAAATACAAACCATCACAGACCTTCAGAGTGATGGTAATGTCACTAGAAGGGAAGACATAGCTGGCTGTGACCAGCCTTACATCCTAACTGAAAAAAAAAAAAAAAAAAAACC